ATCTTGCACAATGATAAATTTGTCACTTCAGCGTGCGCCGCCCTTTGATACGGGTTTGCACGTGCATCGCTCTGAAGCGAGGAGTAAGTTTTTCTCCTGTCTTGTTACCACTTTCAGTTTTTGAGCGATGACCTTGACCGTGTCCGACCGCCAAGGGTGGAGCCGGGGGGTAGGTAGGAGGGCGCCTTGGACCGGTGGATGGTTTGTGGTTGCGTTAGTGGCCGTTAGTCCTCAGCGCTCCGGAGATGGGACACACAGAGATCGTGGCAGAGAGGGAGAAGGTGGTGGGTGTCCTGCTCCCAGCAGTGCTGCCTCGCACTGCCTGGAAACTTCTGCCAAGCCACCTCCCAGCCGAGCGGTCAGTCGCGGCTGGGACTTAGCGAGGCGGGAGGGAGCGAGGCTGTCAGCTGGAGAGAAATACAGCAGTGGGTTGCGGTGGGACACAGCAGGTTTTTGACCAGGACTGGTTTTAAAATGCAAGAATTCAGTGGGGAAAGAGGGACTAAGAAGCAAAACCGAAACAAGTGTGAAAAGAGGAACGACTTGTCAGTAAGGCAAAGAAGCGAGGAGCCTGATTATGTTTCTTTCAGATGCTATCGGCTTACTGCACACATTAATGCTTCTGCACAGTCATAGATACTTGGTAATGCTGGAAATCACAATTCCAGTGGAATGTGTAGTATTGCATCAGTATATTCCAGAACACTGTTCATCGTAAATACCCTTCTGTGAGGAGGAGGAGAGCTTGCTAACCCACAGAGCTAACTTAAGGTTTTGTACGTGCGTTTATGTAGGCTTTTATGGATGGATGGATAAATAAAAGTATCTGCGTATGTGCCTGTATGAATATAGATAAATCCACATAAGTTAGATGCTTGAATAAGTACAAATACTGCCGCTGTTGCACATGTAATACTAACCAGAACATAAATACGACTTAAGAGCCGAGGCAGAGATGCGGCATGTGGCAACTCGCAGGTTTGTTATTTAGCACCAGGGGATGGTGTATTCACCCCTCTCATCCCATCTCCCATCCTTCACTTCCACCACCTCTGATCGCTGCAGCATGTACTGTTACTGGTTTCTCAGTCTGTCTCTGCCTGGAATTCAGGATCCTGACCCCCAATTCCTCCATTTTACTTGATCTCCAGGCTGTTTCGTGCTTCCCTTCGTTCCCCAGCACAAGTGCCAGTCCTGCAGGACTGGCTGCCAGTGCCCTCTTGGCACTGGAATGCACAATAAATCTGGTCACGTAGAGGAGTCGTACTAGTGGTCTGCGTTAACCAGCCTCTTCTTTATGGGTGTTAATCTCTTGTATTTATACTAAAGCAAAGCAATAAAAGGTAATGACTAATAATGATGAAAATCCCTCAAGTCATATAAACTACAACTATTTAACACAGTCCTGTATGTTCCCAAATGCATCATATAAAAAATACTACATAATAAATTTTATATAATAGTTACAGACTCATTCTTTCCCTCTAAATACTTTGCTTTCATGCATGATCTTTTGCCTTGAGTTGCTTCCCAGAGAGCTTCCACACAGTTCTGGAAGGGATAAAATCACAGTGCAACCCTCCACGCTCACATAATTTGCACAGAGCCAATGGGAAGGATGGTAAATAGGTAGAGTCTCACTCCGTTTCCTTGTTATTGATCTCGGGAAATGTGTTTTTTCTCACATTTAAACAGCTGTATTTACTTCATGTGTATTCATAAAGTAACATCTGATGACTGCACGAGAAAAACCAATGTTTCTGGGAGAGTATTTCCAGTGTCAGTGTATGTTGAACAATCAGTATGCATTGTAAATAGTGCAGGGGTGTTGGAGAGGGAGTCCTTGTGCTTCGTAGCGTGAGAGTAGCAGATGACTTATTTATCACTTCTTCAGCGCGTGGCGTAATTTTGAATCAGAAAAAATGCAGCGTGAGTCACTGTCATCATTTCAGTAAAGGGATGTGAAAGGTTTTTTTTCTCTTTCGTGCACCTAGAAAAACTTTGCAGTGAGCAGAGCGTGGGACGGGTGCCTGTTTGGGGCTGAAACCCCCCGAGAGGTGTCCTGCAAGGGCGGAACGGGCCGGCCCGGGAGAAGGACGTGGGGTGCTCCAGAGCCCCCTCCCGCGGGATGGGCTCCACCACGATGGTCCAGAAGATGGTCCCTGGGGAGCTACTCCTGGGCGTGGTGGAGCTGCAGGGATGCAAGAGCTGATCTGCAGCCGAAAGCTCTTGGTTTGTGGCTGAACTCGTTGAGGGCCGGCAGAGGAGCGTGCGTGCACACACGAGAACTCCTCGTGGCTGGAACAGGGAGGTTTTGCTGTGCAGGGCTCTCCCGACCGTGCCCTTCTCCTGCTGGTCTTGCACCATCTCCAGCACCTCCCTGGCTATCTGTGTGCTGCGTTTGTTCCCTGACTGCGCTGAGAAACCAGGAGGTGAGCTTGGGGGCATCTCGGAGAGGTGAATCATGCCGCGAAGAGCTGTACTGAGCCTCGGGTTCAGAGCGTGGCCACACGCAGTCAGGCAGGGGGCAGGGTACAAATTAGTCATATTTGTACAGACTGTGATTGTTTTCCATTGCACATCTTGTAAATGGCAGTGGGAATTACTTTTAAGAGCAAGAATAGTGATTATACACCCACAGTACAGTTGTATTATTCCTAATCTTTGTTGTTTAAGTTTTGGAGTGAATCAAATATCAGGAAAACTGCTTTGAGTTTAGTGAAAAAGACTCAATGTCTCGCTTCTGCCAGAGAACAAAGGCATGTTGGTAAAAGCACAACCAGCCCGTCCAGAGCAATCTCAGCCTCACACCAGTCGGTATTTCAGTCTCTATATCTCCCACTGGCCTCCTTACACCATCTCCCTCATCTTTAGTTCCTGAGCTGGCCCTGGCAGCTTCCCCGTGGAGCGGTGCCGAGTGCTGAAATAGGACGTAGGACAAGAGCGTGTGTGTCGGTGTAAATGGAGCTCTGGGCCTCATTGGTGGGAAATAAAGTGGCAGCTCTCTGGCGTTAGGTGTGTGCCAGTTGTGTCAACAAGCTGAGGATGTTTTTGTTTAATTCAAGTTTTCCCCATGAGAGTGATGGTTCGAGGCTCAAGACATCCCAGTGACCAGTGCAGGAGGCAGCTGTGTTACACACACACAGGCTCATCAGTTAACAAGCTCTGACTTCTTGTCTGTGCAGTTTGCCAACTGCAGAGCCATTGCTTTTTAAAACTTTCATCCTGAATAGAATAGAATAGAAAAGAGTATTTCAGTTGGAGGGTACCTACAGTGATCATCTGGTCCAACTGCCTGACTAGTTCAGGGCTGAATAAAAGTTAAAGCAAATTATTAAGGGCATTGTCCAAATGCCTCTTAAACCCTGACAGCCTTGGGGCGTCGACCACCTCTCCAGGAAGCCTGTTTCAGGGTTTGCCCACTCTCTCAAAGAACTGCTGCCTTGTGCCCAGTCTGAGCCTCCCTGGGCGCAGCTTTGGGCCGTTCCCGCGCATCCTGTCCCTGGATCCCAGGGAGAAGCTCAGCACCTCCTTCTCCACGTCCCCCCCTCGGGAAGCTGGGGAGAGCCATGAGGTCGCCCCTCAGCCCCTTCTCTCAGCCCAGACAAGCCCAGGGCCCTCGGCTGCCCCTTGCCAGCTCAGCTGCCCTCCTGGACACCCTCAAGGACTGTCACCTCCCTCTCCAGGGGTGGGCCCAGCACTGCCTTCAGCAGGACCATCCCCTCGCTTGACCGGCTGGTTGTACCGTGTGGGGGGCACCCCAGGATGCTGTTCCTGGATTTTTATCACCAGATTTACGGTCATTCCGATTGGTCTGTGCTGTGAAACACAGGACACGGCACCTCTTCAGGAGCGTCCTCAGGTCATCCAGCCCTTAGCTTCTCTGCCTGCTGCACGATACCTTGGAGAGTAATAAGAACAGTAGTTAAAGTACTGAAGATCCTGGCAAATACTGCATGATGATAAATATTCTGTTCCTTAGTGTTCCATTTGCACTACAAAATTAGTGTTAAACTGCAGACAAGGAAATAGCCTTTCCTTCTTGTCTCATTTGACTACGGACGAGCATTTCTGAATATTTTTAAACCTAATTTTTATGCAGCAGTTCTTTTCCAATTTTCAAAATTGTATCTGTTTTAAATGCAATTAAAATGAGTGTTGTGAAATACGGGACAAGCAGAATTTATTCCAGCTTTGTACATACTTTGAAGTGTGATGTTAAGCTCTGGAAGACAACTCTGAATGTAAACAGCCTTTCTGGTTTTCAGTCTTTGATATCTGACTTTCAGATGCCAGGCTTGACAGGAGACACCTTCCGAGGACAGTTGCACACACAAAGAGAACTTTTACTGTGCTCTGGAAACAAATAAATTCAAAATGTCCTTTTTTTTGGACATATCCTGCGGGGCTCACCCTCCTTTAGGCCCCTCTGAGTAAACAGAGGGAGTCATCATGGAGGAGAATTAGTAAAGGACTTTTATTTGTTTGTCTGGACTCTAAATATAAATCATGAATTGATGGATAGTTGTATCATTAATCAGATGGCTGGAGTTGTGATGGTGGCGTGGCTACCAGCAAACCTGGGTGGTCCCCATCAAATTGATGTCAAGACTGTGAGGTGGAGAGATATAGA